TAGAAAATCTTGGCCTAACAGACTGTTTATGTGCAGCTCTCAGTATGTTATGCTCTTCTGCAGCAGGAGAAGCAAAACTAACTAACCAATGATGTGTAGAGCGCTAATCTGACTTTAAGAGATTGTATGATTGTGTAGCATGTTTTATACAGTTGGGTTTATTTGCCAAGGGGTATACAATGGGTGAGGAGAGTAAATACAGCCAATTTTGATGGGCTTTTGGAAAGGTGGCTTCATTCCCACAGAATCTCCACAAATCTGACTTTCTCTTCCCCTACCACAGGTGAGCTCTGTTGACTGTGGGATTGAAAAGGACCCCTGTGGTAGCACCTCTTCTTGAGGAATCCTTGACTTCTCAACGCCCACCCCTGCTCTGAAATTGTAGAGGCCATGAGCAAAGCCAAGAAAGAAGAGGAGGCTGTTTTTCTGAGGCAAAAGATCACTTTGCTGAGGGCTTTTTCACTCCTCATTGGCAGCATGGTGGGCAGCGGCATCTTCATCTCTCCAAAAGGGGTGTTGAAAAACTCCGGCAACCTGGGTGTCTCCTTAATTGTCTGGTTTGCCTGTGGCATTCTCTCTCTGTTTGGTGGGTGCTGAGTTGCTTTACTTTTCTTGTTAAATGCTTGGTAGATGGAGAAACTAGTGAATAATATACATCTATAACAAAGGCCTAGCTTTGCTTCTCCAGGAAAAATAAGTTGGACCAAACGCCTGTTTCCTAATGCCATAGAACTGAAGCCAAAGCAAGTTCCTGTGTCCACAGGGTTCCAAGGATCTGTTGTTTTCACTGGTTTGTCTGAGGGATTTGGGGAAAACCCAAGACTTAGGATCTATGAACGTGGTGTCACATGCGGGCGCAGGCATGGGAACAGTTATCATGGAATGTTTAGACACATGGAAGGTTAGCATTCTAGTCAAGAATGCTAGATGGAAAATCTCAGTGTTCTGGGGGACTGGGAGACACGCTGGGTGTTTTATTTCAGTATGTGACTTTAAATTTGTTTTCTTCTTCACAATTAAAAACCAAACAATTCAGGAAAATTAAGTGCAAAGAAATCTCTGTTGCAATGATGTGGTTGAAAGTTTAAAAGAACACTACCACAAAAATTAGGAAATTCAATGATAGATCTCACAACAATTGTCACTCTTTCTTCTAGTGTTTATCATATGTAATGTTTTGTATTATGGGAGATGTTAAACTTATACCTTACTCTCTCTATATATGGATGAAATTTCAAACTTGATGTTTCCACAGCATCCTCAATTAGGATATCTATATCTATATCTATATCTATATCTATATCTATATCTATATCTATATCTATATCTATATCTATATCTATATCTATATCTATATCTATATCTATATCTATATCTATGAGAGTTTGTGTGTCTGTGTGCCCATCCATCCATCTGTGAATCCATTTGTTCAAGAACTCCTCCTAAAGCTAGATAAGAGCTAGGACCACCAAATTTGGTGTGCAGCTTCCTCTTATCATAACTTAAAGTAAGGTCATGATTTGGTTGTGCCAGGACAATGGGATGTGCCTGAAATTCAATTGTTTCTCGTAAAATGGAAAGGGTGAGGTTTGGTAGGAGGGATGGTTATGCTGTTGAATGACCACAGGGGGGCAGCAAGGAGCCTGAGGTGGGACCTAGGACTGCTATAACCCCATTGGGCCAGCAGAGGGCAGGGGTGGAGAAAAGGACAGGATCTACTATATATTTCAGAAAATGTATCTGTTTTATGTGTTTATTTATCTGATGTGTCTCACCTGGCCCGAAGCTGCTGCTGCAGTGAGAGAGGGCTGGGGTTGTTCTCTCTCCCTGGGGTACCCTGCATTCCCTTGCCCCACCCCAGAGCAATGATTTAAATGAAGGGAAAAAAACTTATTTGAGTTAAAGGCCTGAGAAATGCCAGGTAAATCTTTTATATCTATATCTATATCTATATCTATATCTATATCTATATTTTGTCTGTCGGTGGGTCCATTTGTTCAAGAACTCCTCCTAAACAGTAAGAGCTAAGACCACCAAGTTTGATATGAAACTTTCTCTTATAACTTAAAGCAAGGTCAGAGTTTGGTTGTGCCAGGATAATGGGATGTGTATGGAATGCAATTGTTTTGCAGCAAAGGGAAAGGGAGGAGTACGATGGCAGGGACAGTTATACTCACAAATGGCCACAGGGGGACAACAAGCACCTCAGCCTCAGGGAGCAGGCACTGACCAGCAGTGTGGCCCTCAGCAGCTCCTGAGGAGCAGCTGCCAACTATGCTGTTGTGGCCCTCGTTATGCTGGAGTAAGTCTAAATCATCCCTGACAGGTGTTTGTCCAGCCTATTATTAAAAACCTCCAGAGATGAGGATTCCACAACCTCTGTTAGACGCCTATTGCAGTGTGAAATTATCCCAACAGTTAGAAATATTTTCCTAATAATCTTCCTTGCTGTAGATTAAACAGATTATTTTTTATCCTAGTTTAGGTAATCATGAAGAACATTTTATCATGGTCCTCTTTATCACAGACCTTAACATATCTGAAGACTGATCAGGTCCACTCTTCTCAAACAGAAACATGCCCAGTTTATTTAACCTTTCCTCTTAGGTCAGGTTTTCTGGCCAATACAAAAATGATAAAAGGTTCAAATTGCTTACTTTTTCTGCATCTGTTTTCCCACCTGCAAAGTAGGGTGCTAAGCAAGCAAACTCAATATGGTTGGGAACGTTCTGAGAGATCCTCAGAGGAAAGGCATTATAGAAGTGCAAAATCTTCTCTCTTAGTTTGGGATTTTACAGCATCTGTCTCCCAGTCCTGTTTGAAGTAGGTTTTATTGGAGTCTGTGTCAGAAATCAGAGAAAAGCCAGGCATCTGTGCAGGCTAAAGGGTGCAATTAAAATGCTAGAGCACCAAATTTCTTTCTTTTTGTGTGTGTTTTAAATTGCTAAAAATCTGATCTCGGAAATCAAGGTTGTAATCTAGCAGTTCAAAGTTCACACATACATTTTTACAATGAGGAAGGCTGGGGTTCATAAAAGTTAAACAGTCAAGACTTGTTAGGCCAGATAAGGAGAGCAAGGGTGTTCCCGAGTAACGTTTTGCTCTATGATGAGTCCCACTGACTTCAATAGTTCTGCTCAGAGAGTGAGGCAACAATGTATATGGCTACCAGAACCCTGTCCTTATCAAAGAGTTTATTGTATGAAGATAAAACCCCCGAAGTAATATCAGTGGGCTGGGTGCTGCAGTTGGCGCACTGAATGTAAATCAGCTTCACTCCAGTGAGGTCCCTGCAGCTCCAAGCCAGTTGACATATACTGGGCGTCTGACCCAATTTTGTTTTCTTTTCAAAGAGTGGCCACTCTTGTCTGGGTTTACTGACACAGGAAATTATTTACATCCAAACTTCATCAAGAAGGGTGCTAACAAAACATTTCTCAATTTCCAGGGTGGGCTCCAGATTTGAGATCTGAATCCAGCCTTGAGTTCTTATTTGTGCCTTGTACAGCCTGGAGCATGTTTCCAGCATTTAAGATAGGTGCCAGATGGGGCATATATCCATTCCCGAAATAAAAATGTGAGAAGCTGACAGTACTTAAACCAGTTAAGAAAAAAATTCACAATAAAAGGCATTATGGACAAAACATCTTTGGCTGGCTAGCAGCTATCGCTTTAATATTCTAACAATTGTTTTCCCTGCTAAAAGGGAACAAAGCAGTTAACGCAACTCATCCTAAAGAGGGTTTATTACAGAACTACACACAAAAAGCCCTTGAGCGGCTTGCCTTGTAAATGCTCTAGGGGAGACCCCTTTAAATTGACTCGTGGCATGAAACAAGGCTGTTTCGCACCCTATTTATCTGTAGACTCTTTAGGATCTTAGCATACATGACTAGAGGTACATTCCTCACGTATGGGAAGCCCCCTCTGTGGATCACAGATGGCCTTGTGGTTAAGACTGACTGGAATTCAGAAGAGTAGAGTTAATTTTTGGTTCTGTTAGAGATTTCCTGTGTGATGTTAGCAAAGCACAATTTCTCTCCACCTCCTTCCCCCCATTTAAGCTGTACACATGCAACTCAGAGGTTAGAATTCTGAACTTTTGGCTCCAAAAGCTTAGACTTTAAGGCTCAAGTTACAAAATAAGAGAGTTTGTGGCCGTATGAATCTGTTACAATGCACTCATACATTCGTTACAACATGTAATTTTGATCATCATGCCATATGATGGTGGTACAGGTCATGCTAATTCAACTATGTTATTAGAAAGACAATCTCATGGCAAGGTGACAGGGTGAAACAGAAAGGAAAAGATTAGCCTGTCAGTCACATGATCCCGCAGGAGACTGAAGGAAGGAGACCAGGTTTGTCCTTTCTCCAGGGCTTAGACCGCCAACGGAGAAGCCTCTGGGGCCTGCTTTAGTCATGGGAATCACTTTGTCTATTGTTACTTCTTGAGTTTTTATGTGTAAACTGTACAAGGGTCAGAAATGGACTTGGGCAAGCCATTGGTCCTTTCTGGGGCTGGTCAGAGAGCCCTCTAGCATATGGACACCGTGATCTCCTAGCACAGTGGTTCTCAACAAGGGCTGCGGGCCCCCAGGAGGGAGGGGGGTTGTGAGCAGTTTCAAGGGTCTTCTGGGCATGGTCAGCATTAGATTTGCTGGGGCCCAAGGCAGAGAGCTGAAGTCTGAACAACTTAGCTTCACAGGGCCCCCGTGTGGCATGGGTCCCCAGGCAATTGTCCTGCTTTCTAACCCCTAACACCACTCTTGACGTTTATATGTAGAAAAAAACAGGTGTGGCACAGGTGGTTTGTGGAATTTTTATAGCTTGTTGGTGAGCGGCGGGGGGGGCAGAAAGAGAACTCCTGAGCAAGGATATAAGTGGCTGTCATGTTGAAAAGTTAGTTGTTTAAAAGGCTGAGCATATATAAAGTGCGATACCTTTGTGCGTGACCCCTCCGAGCCAAAACAGTCTCCTGGTTTCACATTTATCCAGCCTCATCCCTTAGTAAATTCAATTCAGTAACATATTCTTGATCACTGATCCCTTGGAAATTACTGTCCATTGACTGATATAAGGGTGTTTCTTTAGGTTGTTATGTCTCCAGAGTCATTTTAACAAAAATACAGTTAATTCAGGTCACATCAGCTGATTGCTCACTACCTAGTGAGCTAGATAGATAAAGAGCTAGATAGATTCATGGAGGTTAGGTCTATCAATGGCTATTAGCCAGGATGGGTAGGAGTGGTGTCCCTAGCCTCTGTTTGTCTGGAAATGGATGACAGGGGAGAGATCACGTGAGGATTACCTGTTGTGTTCCCTCCCTCTGGGGCATCTGGTA